TGCTCTATCCCTAGGGCCTAACACAGTTCCTGAAGGGTAAATCTCATCTTTGTTTTGAAATACAAAAGACAAGGATTGGTACTGATAAAAATAATTTCATTAAGATAGAAATTAAAGTAGAAATAAAATGGAAACATTTTAACAGCACTGTAGAGAAAATCAATTGAGGAACCAATTTAATTCCAGTTGGCCTAATGGAATTGGCTCTGGCAAAAGTTTAATCAATGGAAATTCATCAATATTGGAGTAAGCTATTTAAAGCATCCGTATTCATAAACATGAATAGTAACATCCCGAGTGTTACAGCAGGAGGGTGAAAACCTTCTGTACTCAAATTATGAAAGATCATGATCATGAGAAAAGGTGCTGCCTATGGTTTGAACCCAGCAACTAGTTCCAAAGCCCAATTTCTTCCACCTTCCAAACTGCCTGTACCTCACAACTACACACCAACTGTCAAAATAATACATTGTTTCATGAATTGTCACTCAAAGTAAGATCATTTACAATACTTGTTGGATGCTTGTCCCCACTCTTAACCTGGTAGACATTTGAATTGCCATTTTATTTTATTTTTTTGAATTGGAGTCTCACTCTGTCACCCAGGCTGGAGTGCAGTGGCACGCTCACGGCCACTGCAACCTCAACTTTCTTGGCTCAGGCGATCCTTCCGCCTCACCCTTCTAAGTACCTGGATTGAGTTGCCATTTTAAGTAATATGCCATGTGTGTAGTTGGTGAGGGCTGTCCACCCGCATTGGTGGTGTGATGTAGGCTCGAGGCCATGAGTTTTGAAAACAGGTGGTCAAAGTTTAAATCACAGCTCTGTCATTTACAAACATGTAACCTTGGACAAGTAATCTATTCTCCCTTGGTTTCAGTTTTGATGACAAATCTCTACCTTAAAAAGGTGTAATTAAATAAAATAGCAAATGCCACACATGTAGCATGGTACTTTGCATATATAAGCCACTTCAACCAGAGCCATGGTTTTTATGTGAGGGAATTCAGACAGTTATTTAATAAATGACTTAGATTATAGCCTCCTAGAGTTGTAGAATGGGAGCAGACCTTAGAAAAATAAGACATCTTCATTCATCAAAGAAAAATCAGCTGAAGTTTCAGCAATATATTTGTTTTCACTTGAAGCTCATGCTTGTGCTTGTGTTGAAAGATAATTTATTAGCAAATCTAAACTCTTCCCCAATTCACCTATTTTAATTTCACTTTGTCCATTGTTATCTTCCAGTCTAATAAAGCTGGTCTGTGAACCGTGACGATGCAGTTGAGGAAATAAGCTCAGTCTCCCTGATGTGACCAGATGCATTGTCACAATGCAGATGATGTCTTCCTCATGCATATGCAGCACTGCTAATTATTCTTCTTTCAGAAATAATGGCATGTCAGGACATGAAACCCAGGGCCACTCTCTTTAATTAGGCAAGAATGAATTGGCACGTGCCTGTGCATAAAAAATAATCGCTTAATGTAATTGAATGTTGGTTTTTGGTATGCCCTTTTCCCAACAAGGCAATGTCTAGAAAGATGAAAAGATGGCTTATCCCGTCACAGGATGTGCAGAGGGGATTGAGTGTGTGCTACATTGCATCTTCGTTATAAACTTCATCCTGAGACCCAATTAACAGTTCTGCTATTCTCTTTCATTTAAAATCACTTAAAACAGATGAAGGCAGAGGGTTTTAACGATATCTCAGAGCAAGCAACAAAATTAGTTATTCCCCCATGAGTTTCCTTCATTTTTCACATGTGTTCCTTTCCAAGTGAAGTCAGGATCTGAGGCTTCTGACACTGCTCTAGGGCTGTTGGGTCTGAGGGGATGAGAGGCCTTGGATTCTGAGGAGAGTTGGCAATCCCTCTCACCTACATGCGTGCGCGCGCGCGCGCGCGCGCGCCACACACACACACACACACACACACACACACACACACACACACACACGCATGCATGTGAGGCTACCTCTCTGCCCAGGACTCAGTGTATTATCCAAGGCCATCCAGCCAGGGATTGTGGCCCTCTTCTCTGAGACAGGACTTAAATGTTGGGGAGAGTACTGTTTCCTAAGGATGGGGGCTCTTAACTTGAGATGCAGGGAGTTGGAGTCTGGTGACCCATGAATCCTCTGAAATAATGTGTGCCCTCCCCTAGGAAGAGGGTCTTTTGTGAGTGTGTGTGTGTGTGTGTGTGTGTGTGTGTGTGTGTGACCAAAAAAAAAGATTAACAAATACATCTATTAGCTTTCTTCTGATCTTGAGTCCAAAGGATGTTGGAAGGAGCTCAATCTTGGGAGTCAGATGGACTTAGGTTTGAATCATCTCTAAAATATTTTAGCTGTGTGACCTTGGGCAAACTACAAAACCTCTCTAGACCTCCATTTTACAAATTGTAAAATAAAGATAAGAAGGCCTATTTTAAGGTTGTGGTGACAGGTAAAACCAGAGAAAGGATAAATGACAATTTTCTTTGTTCTCACTTTCATCTCATGAATACAAACAAAAGCAGGTACCTGTTCTGTCTTACTTATTACTAGATCTCCCCTAGCATCCAATATGGTGCCTAGCACACAAATGTTGGTTCAATGAATGACTGAACGGTTGGATGATGAGTGTCTTGGTTTAGTGCCCAGATGAAATCCTTGTCTATGGTGATATTTCCTCAAAGCATGTATTTTCTTTTCTTTTCTTATTTAATTAGAAAATGTAGTTTATTTAAAAGTAAATTAGAGAGAGAAGATTCACCTCCCCAAGGCGGGGGAGGAGGTCAAAGCCAGGAGGCATGGCAACAGCCATAGCTCAAAGAGAACATGGCCATACCAGAGTCTAGCAAGGCAATGTCCAAAGCATGTATTTTCTAAGAGAGATCTTGATGCTCCACTTGCTTTTGCTGAGACCTCCTAGGACAGTCAGCCCCTGTGCCCTGCGCTTTCCAGAATGAATATTGTAGGTGACAGAGTAATATGGATTTGCAATTGTTTATATGCAAGCATAATGCTGCTTCCTAAGGGTCCTTGTTGCTGTTGAACATGACATCCACTCTTATTGGGTGCCCTTGGTGGGTAATATACAAAAACTCGTACATCTTAAGCCCATAGCTACCAAATAGATTTCTCCTTTTCTGGGTTATTAGGCTGTGAGACTTTGGGATTTCCAAACCTGTTCCTTGGTGCTGTGCCCATATAGGCAGATCTGACTCCAAATTCCAGATGAAAGTTCTTTCACTGTGAATTAACCCCAAGGGAAATGTGACTTTTTCAAAGGTTTCCAGATGAAGTTCTATGCTGCTTCTCTGTCTGCCTTCATGTCCTACTTCTCACTCTGCTTTCATCCTTCAAATTAATTTTCCCAAGGTTATAGCTGGTTATCATTGAACAAAAGAAACAAAAGTGGAAGAAGCAGATATTCCCATCCTCACTGACTGCACAGCAATGTTTGCCTTATAATTGTGACAAGCTGACAATAAGATAACAGTGACAAAGTCATAGCCACTCCACTGAATGTAACACAGTTGGGTAATTCATCTCTCTGTCAAAGAATGTATCTAATGAAAAATGGCTATAGTGTTAATCAATTGTTATATAAAAATGGATATTGTAACATTGGGATGGCGAGGAGGAAGGTGAATGTTCTTCCTGATAGAGTCTGTCTTCTTTCTGTCTTTGTAGCCTGCATTAGGGAGTGTGTGACTGTCACCTCATCTATTGTGGAGCTGCTGATAGAGATCCTATGAAAAAGCAACGATGTTGCATAGTGGACAGGGAGGAATCAGAGTTATAATTAATTTTGTTTCTTTGTGTTCTACCACAGTGACCCTTATTTCTCCAAAGATAGTTTTAACCCTGTGGCTTTCACAGTCTCTAAAATCAATGAATCTTTCAGCTTATGCTGAAAATACAAGACAGATAAACATGGGCTGCTGTGGTTTAAGTGGGGGAGGAGTAACCTAGGAAAATGAAGTACCATTTCATTTTTGTGCCAGTGTTAACTCCATTGAGAAATAATGGGTTGATTAAAATTCTTGGTCTGTTGTTTAATTATTTAGAGTGAATGCTTCTAACAGAAAGATATTTTTGTCTTTGTAATTCTTTTGGTTTATTACTAACATATTTAAAATATCCAAGTAGTTCGCCATGGTTTTTTTGTTTGGTGGGTTGGTTGGTTTTATTTGTTTTTGTCTCATGACACTGGGAAATATTGCAGCAAAGTATCTTTCATTGGCCAATGCTGTTGATGGTTCATTTGTATTTCTGTCTTGGAAACATTTCTTATTAAGAACCTGTCACAAAATTCAGATATACCTCTTGACAGAGACTATAGAACCAATTTTAAAATTATAAATGATTGTCGAATGCTTTGAGTTGAGGAGGAAATGACACATTAATTAAAAAAAAAAAAAAAAAAATGAAGCACTGATACATGAAGATACAACTGTGCCCCTGCTGGCCATATGAAGTATTGTGTATCTATCTGAGCCTTATGTATACATACCTAAGGGCCGAACTTGATACCAAGACTCATGATAAACTGAACTTCAAAACAGGCAACGAGGCCGGGCAGGGTGGCTCAAGCCTGTAATCCCATCACTTTGGGAGGCCGAGGCGAGAGGATTGCCTGAGTTCAAGGGTTCGAGAGCAGCCTGGGCAACATGGCAAAACCTCGTCTCTACAATAAATTAAAAAATCAGGTGAGAATGGTGGTGCATGCCTGTGGTTCCAGCTACTTGGAAGGCTGAGGAGGAAGGATCACCTGAGCCCAGCAGGTCGAGGCTGCGGTGGCCGTGAACGTGCTACCGCACTCCAGTCTGGGTGACAGAATGAGACTCCGACTCAAAACAAAACAGAAACAAAACAAAACAAAACAAAAAACAGGCAACAAGAGGATTCGGGATGATTCTCTAAACTGTCTAAGACACTTGGTGAGCTAACCCCTTTTTTCACTTAAGGTTATTACAGGCTCCCTGTTAGTGTGACCATCTCCATTTTATAGAAGTTAATGTTTCCTCCATCCAAGGTTGGGATGCTTCACATCCTTCTCAGTCCTTGGCTTCTCTTTTGTTTCATCTGTGTTTGGATGTTTCTCGGGTCTCTGGCAGCTTCCCGCAGGAGCTCGTGTTTTTCATTCTGCTCCTAGTATACTTTCATAGGAGATACGGAGGAAATAAAGAAAAGCTGCTAAGTAAGTGGTTTCCCCGGACTGTAAGTAGTGGAGGCCTCCTTACAGTTACAAAGTCATTATTATTGATTTTTATTATCATTTGCATTCCAAAGGAGTTAATCAAAAAGAACGTTTGACTCAACAGCAAGCCACTGGTTAAAACCCCATGTGTTTTTAGGATATTCTCTTCAGTTTATTCCTCTTTTGCCGGCCTCTATGCTTTAGTATTTCTGTCCCCGTAGATCACCCTTTATCTAGTGTGGACTGAATACCAAATGAAACTTTCTCCCCTGAAAAAAAAAATCTATGTATGTGGATCAGGCAGTGTGCTGAGGATGAAGCATTTACTTTCTAGGTAAGGAAGAAGTATAAGCAAGGCATAAATGGTGCTTCCCAGATTTGTTCACCCCAGGAGTACAGGGTGTAAGCAATGCCATTAATCTGGGGAAGAGCAAAGCATACTCACGGACTGGGGGTTCCGGTGTGCACTAATTAGTGTACTAGGTGCTAATTAGTGAAAGGCCTTGTTGTTTGCTCTTCCTGTAGCAGTAATAAGAAGGCAGGCGATTGATATGCTGTCATCTCTGCACAGCTTTTTTGCTGTGTTTTTTTTAAGCTCACATGCATTTTCATTATTGGTTATGGTTTTTGTGTGTGTGTGTGGCAGCGTTTAGGGGTGGGTGTACATAAGGCTTCTATTGCTTGACTGCCAACTTTGCTGAGCTCACATGTCCTTATTTATGTGTTTGCCAGGGAGAAATGCCTGCTGCCTCTCCAGTTGGCTTTGGAATCCAAGAATGTGAAGCTGGCCCAACACGCTTTGGCAGGGATGCAGGTATGGCTTTGACTGAATGCAATGGGGTGACAGAAATTGACAGACCCCTTTGGCGTTGAAAGAGCAAATAGTTAACATTTTAAATACTAGCTGTTGAAAGACTCACAGTGACATTTGATTGAACTAGAAAATAACCATGGAGGGTAATAGAATTTTCTTTTATTAACCAGAATTTTTCTGTGCACAGCATTTTTTTGTTGAGTCAGACACAGATTCATGGGGACCTAGCAAAGGTCCCCGTGAGGACCACACAGATGTGAAATATTTTTGAGATGCCCAATTTTAGGAGAGTAAGAGATCTCAGGAAAGAGATTTCAAGTTCATATCAATTCAGATCTTGTATACATTCAACATTTGTGGTTTCTATATAGTAAGAATTGATAGTAAATTAGAAAGGTTCTGTTTTGCTTTTTATTCTAAAAATGGAGTAGGTTAGCTAATAGATTAATATCTTTTGTTTCCAGAGCAAGATTGGGGGGGGGGGAATGGTTTACTAAGAAAAGTCAGATTGCTTGAATACATTTCTTTCTCTAAGCATTTGTTCATTTGTGTTTTACTCCAAACATAATGGGTCTAGTTCTGACAGTGAAAGGTAATGACTATAAACATACACTAACTTTTAAAAATGGTTTGTTTTCTAAGAGGCAAGTACTGTGAAGTTGAAGCTTGTGGAGGCTTATCCAGTGTGGCCATGGATTGGTAGTATTTGTCAGATACCTTTTTACATCAGTATAGACTATTTCATAGTTAGTTTTTTAAGTTCAGAAAGGTCCCTAGTACCTTTTAAGCATTAATACATATGAAAGAGTGAGAAAACAGCTCTTTCCCCCTCCAAGTAAATTGGAATTAGATGATGGGTATTTAATGTATGACAGCATTTCAAATTTTTAAACATTGTCAATAATGTTTTTTAAAACCATTTGCTTTTCTCAAGTTAATTGGGCCATCAATAAAAATAAAAATGAGTGAGAATTTGCTTTGATCTACAACTTTTGTTCTTTTTCCTCTAGTATTATATAGATTTCCCATTTAGCACACCTCTCTGTCTCTCTCTCTCTCTCTAAGTAAAAACAGCTTTGTGTATAGATATTGATTCTGGGATGTCCTGGGTATGACGTGATTTTGGCAAAATCCCTTTTAAAAGAATACAGGCAAAATATCAGAGAGTCTTCAGCAGAAAGGTTGAAAATATTGTTTTCCAGATTGCAAAGGCATGTAGGTAAAAGAGTCATTACACTGGATGAATCCAAATTCCCAAGTTCTTCACAGGCTGCAACTGTAAGCCACAACAGAAAAGAACAAACTAAATAGGGATAAATATAAAATTCCATACTGGGGTCTCAAAAATCATCTCACCAGGACAGAATTGGGGAGAAAAGCTTAATTGCAGCCTTTGTAAATGAGAATTAGGGGCTACAGGGTGAGTCTGCGTAGAATGTGCTAGGGGGCCCACTAAGCTCGTTTTACCTGAGGATGAGATTCAAGTCATTCATCACTCTTCAATATCAAACTACCTTTGACATACTGCCTTCACTCCGGAGGCCACATTCTAATCAGGAGGGCACAAGTGAAACCTTACCAGGTGGAGAACCACCCTTGGAAGGGACCTGAGGAAGTTTAATATGGAAAGGATTTGGTGGACTCTCTAGCTGCCTTCACATATTAATCCATGTGGCCCTAGGGAGCAATGAGGGAATAGAAGTTATAGACAGGTGGATTTTGGTACCATCTGAGGAAGAATTTGATGAAAAACGAAAAATAGAAACAGAATAGGGCCATCCTGTGGGCTGACCTGCTAGGAGTCCTCATGAAAGAGAATGTCTTTTAGCTGAGGTTTTTGTAAGATTCATTCTCTTTTGGGGAAGCACATTAAGCTTTCTGGATTCATGAATAATTCCTGGATAAATGACAGCTCACATTAGGAAGCAAAAAGATAAACACTTGAGAAATGAACTTGTTGTCTACAAGACCTTCTCCTTTCTGGTGACAAAGCCCCATTCAGAAAGGGTGTGTGTGTGTGTGAGTGACTGTTGTGCAGGGTGACATTCCTCTCGGCCTCTTCATTCCCCATCCCCATCCCCTAAATAACCTATATGGCCAGCACATCAGAATTTCACTTGATGACATTTAAAATGAATGATCTCCTATCAGGGAAAGGCCCTTGCCCCAAACAGATTACCCCAAGGTTGGATGTGTTTCTCTTTTTCATGGCGTGTAGCCTGCATTCTTTCATAATGGGCTCCAGCTACATGCCTCATGAATAAGAGAAATGATCATCGATACGTAATAAGATACAACCGAATGAGGCAGCGAGGAGAGTCTATCTGTGATCACTGCCTTGTGCCTCTTTGCAGAAGCTTCTGTCAGAAGAGAGGTTTGTATCCATGGAAACAGACTCTGATGAGAAGCAGCTGCTCAATCAGATCCTGAATGCCGTGAAAGTGACGCCTTCGCTCAATGAGGACCTGCAGGTGGAAGTGATGAAGGTTGGTTTGACGTGGCCACCAGCGTGCGTCACTGGGACAGGAACACATGCTGACCCCTCGCGTTTGTTGTTATCTTGAAAATGCCTCTGCATTGTGATCATGCTGGCTCATCTTTCCTTTGGAACAGATTGTTATTATCCTTGCTTATGGTCCCTCCAAATTACCTTGATTGCTTAACTGCAAAAAAGGATATAATTTCCATAACTTTATGACACATTTGGCCCTATTCTATGTATCAAATGCTGTTAGGAAATGTATTTATCACCTTTTAAGAGAATGTTTGTAAATAGATCCAGCTTGGGATAGATCTGGTGGTCATTCTGGGTATTCTGCCTACTTGTATATGTTAAAACTAAGACCTAATAATGTTTTGATATGTACTGAGATTTTAGAATGGTCAGTTTACAGGGAGAAAGACCATATCAGGGAGGCATATCAGAATCACATAGAGGTATCATCAGAAATCACATATTTTTTTCTTCCCCAAATTATGTGAACTTTATCTCTTTCATTCCAACTACTCTTTTAGAGATGGCTTCTCCTCCTCTTTCCCGTTGTTTCCCTTGACAATCACCATGATTGAGAATCCCTTGTGCTGACTGAAGTGTGTCATATTCTATGAATGAATGGTGAGCTGGGCAGAAAACGATGGAAATCTCTGCCCTAGAATAGCACCTTGGTCACAGCAATACAACAGGAACCAACAAGATGGCTTTATTAATGTGATCTGTCCTTTTCCTCCCTAGAGGACTATATGTAGGGGGATATTCAATAATAGTTGGTGTCATATAATGGAATTCACTTCTCTGGGTCTCTGTTTCTCCATTCAGAAGAGGAAAGACTAACTTGAGTTGTGACATTTTCTTGATGCCCTGGGCCTCACCCTAACCCTCTTGAGGGGTAGTTTAAGGTAGTTAGTGATTGAGACTCTGAAGCTAGCCTGCCTGGGTTTGAATCTTTATTCTCCCACTTTATAGCAGGATATCCTTAGACAGATTCTATAACCACTCTGTGTGTTGATTTCCTCATTTGTAAAATGGGGCAAAATGCAGGGAGTACCAAATATATATATACACATTTTAATAGATGTTATCTATGTATTACTTTTTGAAGTTGAATTGAATTATAGTAGCAATGTGTAGTCTGATGTTCGTTCAACCGTGCTTCCACCATTTTCTCTGACTGTCCTGCCTGTTGCACGGTGACACTAGCATTCATTTGATTAATGCCGTCTTTTGAGCAAACGTCATCCTTAAAATGTGTATACATGTTTTTGCCACTCTCTGTAGTAGTGCCTACCCAATAGAATTGTTTTGAGGTGACACCTGTAAAGAACAGCACTGTATGTGGCAAAAAGAAAGTGCTTTAGAAGTGGTATATGTTACTATCATTACTACTTCTGCTACTATTACCTACTTCTCCTGAGTCAGAATCTCAGTGGATAGGTCTAGGAATATGCAGTTTTCATTAGTGTCCCAAGTGCTTCTCAGATACTACAAACATTGACAGTGCCTACCTAGCTGATCTTTAAGATTTCAATCCTCTTTAACTCTCTTTGATTCTGAAATGTACAATTTTGCTGTATCCTAACATCAGTTTGGCAGTCTTGCATGCATAGGAACCACAGAGTGACCCCCTCTAGATTTGTTTTACTTCACTACTTTGGGAAAACAGGCAAGGCCAGCTGCCACGCTAATCACTTTTGTGACTTCCAAGTCTAGCCTGTGAATCTGGAGGGTGAGCTTTGGTATCATACTAAGAGATACACCTCATAGGTTATATATTATTCTGGAAATTCTCCCAGGAATAGTTTTTTTTTTTGAAGAATACAGAAATTTGTATTAAAAATTAAAATGAGAAAACACCTGTTCTTTAGGAGTTATGCACAAGTAGAATGTTTGCTATTTATGTCAACAGTAACACCTGTTTTGAAAACATGTACTTGCTTTCTAATTCCAGCCAGGGGTGCCTTCTGCTAACCTTGCTGAGGACAGGAGTTGACATATGTTAACCATACTATAGAAAGTCTATTTTAATAGATTTTCTAATGAAACTATCATAGACCTTGGTACTTTTAGTTTAACATCTAGGAGGAAAATCAGACATTGTCTGAAAAAGAAAAAATAATCTGGGCTGTCATTCTTTTTTTTTTTTTTGAGTTGGGGTCTCACTCTGCCACCTAGGCTGGAGTCCAGTGGCATGCTCACTGCCACCCCAGCATCAACTGAAACTACAAGCACATGCTACCATGCCCAGCTAATTTTTTGATTTATTGTAGAGACGAGGTCTCACCATGTTGCCCAGGCTGGTCTCAAACTGGCGGGCTCAGGCAATCCTCTAGCCTCCACCTCCTAAAGTATTGGGATTACAGACTTGAGCTGCCACCCGGCCTGGACTGTCATTCTTTACAATGATATTTCCAAAATGCTTAAGCCGATAAGAGCCTTTTTGCTTTTTGCTGTATTTGTTAAATTGACAGATAACATAGTATGTCTTTACCATGTACAACATGATGTTTTTGGAGTGTATATACATTGTGAAATGGTTAAATCTAGCTAATTAGCAAATGCATTACCTTTCATAGTTATCAGTTTTGTGGTAAGAGCACATAACATCCACTGTCTTTTGTTTTGCTTTATTTTTTGAGTCAGTATCTCACTCTGTTGCTCAAGCTGGAGTGCAATGGCATGATCATGGGGCTCACTGCAGCCTCGATCTCCTGGGCTCAGGCAATCCTTCCATCTCAGCCTCCCAAGTAGTTGGGACTATAGGCATGTGCCACCATGCCTGGCTACGTTTTTTATTTATTGTAGAGACAAGATCTCTCTATGTTGCTCAGACTGATCTCGAATTCCTGAGCTTAAGCAGTGCTTTCACCTGGCCTCCCAAAATGTTGAGCTTATAAACGTGAGCCACTGCACTTGACCAACAGTCACAGTCTTTGCATTTTTCAAGAGTATAATATATTGTCACTAATCTTAGTCACCTTGCTATACAAAAATCTCCTGAAAATTCTTCCTCCTATCTAACTGTAACTGTGGATGAACCTCAAAGACATTATGTTAAGTGAAAAGAGCCAGGCACAGATAGACCAATACTACATGATTCCACTCAAATATGGAATCTAAAAGTTAATCTCATGGAAGTAGAGAGTATAATGGTGGTTATAAAAGTATATAAAAGTATATAAAAGGTAGATAAAAAGTAGATAAAAAAGTAGATAAAAAGTATATAAAAAGTAAAAAAATAAAAGTAGATAAAAAGTATATAAAAGTAGATAAAAAGTATATAAAAGTATATAAAAGTAGAGAGTATACTGGGGTACTGAGAGGGGAGGGGCCATGGGGAGATGTTAGGGTACATGCTATTTTAAAAAATATTTTATTTTAATGTTAAGATGTGGGGAGCACAAGTTAGGATTAGGTACATAAGTGATCTATGTGCAGGTGAAGTTTGGGCCTCCAACTGGTGTTCATCTCCTGGTTTAGGATCAGGTACGCTTCATGTTGTTACATACCCCCTTCCACTCCCCTGACAGTGTCCAACAAACTTGCCATCCCTTCCTTGTGCTATTGTGAGTAATGGTCAGGTCCCACTTATGAGTGAGAACATTATTTTTAAATATCGGAATTGGTAAAAATATTTCAATTCACAAACCTAGTCTTAAGCCCATTTTTTTTTTGTAGTGTACTTTTATCTTAGACAGCCATTTTTAGCCAAGCTGCTAGGAAATTAATAATGGGATAACTGTATTTTGGGTGATATTATTACTTTCATCAAAATAAAACTTCAAAGATGTTCATCTGACTTTGATAGGTCACAGATGAGGGCTCCATGATCATTTCCTATTTCTAAGCTTTAAAATATTCATTTGGGTATAGAGCTTGTTACAAGGTATAGAATTTCTGGCTTAGAATAACGTTTTAACTCCTTTCTCTATGCACAAGGAATTTCTATACCAACTTAGTAGTAATCTGTAAAAGCTCAGGCTCCGTTATCTTGTAACTCTGTAGTACTTATAATGATCCAAGTAAAACCTCTTAAATAAGTCCTTGTTTTGCTAATATCATTTCTATATTAAAATGCTTTTCTCATATTTTCCCAAAAATCATATTAAAAAGAGAGAGCAAATTGGATGAATCCTCAGAGAAAAGATTGGATTTCTATTACACCTGAAGGGTATGTTAATTTAGTCTTGTTGCCTCTACATGACTCATTCTAATGATAAATTATTTAAGCTGGATATTTCCGATAAAAATCTTCCAGTCATTTTATGTAGGTATTTTCTAGGCACAGACAATCTTTTAAAACTAGATACAGTAGACAATTTTCAAGTGTTGATCTGAGTATACTATTCAGGGTAAAGCCACACCATGCAGTTTTTATTTATGTCTGTTCAACCATGGCATGGTACATTTTTACAACAGATCCTAGGTGTTATTTTTCAAATGCTATATCATGTATTTCATTCTGCTAGTGCTTATAAACATGAGAAGTTGAACCATGTCACATTCTTATGGGTATGTAGCAGTTGTATTAATTTCCTAGAGATAAAATAATATGATTTTCTCTTTTAGAGATTTCCCTGAAATTAAATAGAAACTAGTTGATAATGAAACCCAATATTCCAGTGTTAGTGTTCACACAGAAAGAAAGCCCTAGACTTTCAATCTGAGGGTTTAACAAACCTGACAAATTAAATAGGAATAAAGTTAACCCATTTGGTCTAGGAACTATTGTACATGGTTTTACTATTTAACTGGAGGGCGAAGAAAGGCAACTTTGATTTATTCAAATGGCTGTGGAATTCAAATAAAAATTTTATAGCTTGAGCAAATAAACTGTCAGAACTGTAAAAAATCAGAAAAAAGGTTTCTCTAAAGATAGATTACCTTTGAAATTGATTTGTAGATGGTAGGGAGCTGTTGAATATTTAGGTAAAATACTTTGCTCTGGTAATGTTTTCCCATGGTATGTGCCATTTCTGTAAATGCCAGGAAGACTTTATTGGGACCATATACATAACTAATGACATCTTTGTCTGGGGTAATTAGGATGTTTTTTCCTTTCTTTCTGATGGATAACCTTTAGTGAAGTTATTAACTGATACGGCTGATTGAGTCTTGAAAGACAGAAAGGAATTATGGCTGGCTGTCTGCCTCTGTAAATATGGGAAAGATGTGAGTATCTTATCTGGGGAGGGCAGGCTGGCTTTGGCGATAAGGAAGGATGTGATACTGGACACTGAGAGAGAATTTGATGAGTATTCCATTATGGGTATCTTACTTTATGGGCATCTTTAGATAATAGAAGTAAATATTCTATGGTGGAGTGCTTTACAGTTTTCAAAGGAGAAATTGGCAGGGGCTGATCATTTATCATTTATTAAGCATCAGACACTCTGGTAAGTACATTCATACTAAGGTTACACAGTTAGCAAAATGACTGGGTCAGCGTTTGAACCATAATTCAGGCTAAGTCTATCCTAAAAGACTCATAGATGGTAGTCATTACTATTCCTGTTATATAGCCAATCAAACTGAAAAGCTAAGTTACAAGGAGCAAAGCTAGGAGTGGCTCAAAGTCCTGTGTGTCTTCTGTGTCCTCCCATGATAATGATTTTCTCTCACTAGTTCTATGAGCCAATATGAAGAAGAATCAAATAATATCACTTTTCTACCAAATTAGCTAATACCTTTGGGGGGGGTGTGAGAGAGAGACAGAGAGAGATAGAGATACTGACTTAGATGAGGAAGGGAAAGAGAATGTCATTTACTGTTAAGGTATTTTTGTATAACAAAAACCTAGTAGACATCTACAGAAAATACAAGGTGTGTAATCATGGGCAAAGAGTTTGCTATCTGTCCAGGTGTCCACTTAGCACTCTGGTATTACAAAGTGGAAGAGAGTGTGCATTTAAATTATGTGTCTGTACTGCAATGCTTTGGTCTGGGAGCAAGAAACGGACCAAATGAAGAGACCATTTTTAAATTCCCTCTCAGTAATGTTTTAATGGCAGACTCATAATTGGTAAGTTTATCCAAATTGTTAGTTTTAATGTTCTTCTTCTAGATTGCCTTAGGAAAAGAATTATCATTAGGGAAGTTTTAAGGTGAGATGGCTAGTTTGTCTTATTTCTCATAATAGGGAAAAGTCCCTTCTTAGCTTGAAGCCACAGAGATACTTTAAATTTCCAGAAATCTCTAGCATTGAGGACAAATTCATTGTTTGCTGAAAAATGTTTAACTCCTGAAGGTATCATTAATGCAGGTTGATTTAACAAACTCAAACATGTTGTTTGTACAGTTAACGCAGATAAATGACTAAAATAAGTGGTTCTCAACCAGCCTTTCCTCTTCCTGCTTCTAAGGTTGAGTGATAATCATCTTTTTCTACCTTGCACATACATTGATATAATTCTTATTAAGTTTTCTTCCCATGTTTCTTTACCCTTTGGTATGATTGCCTTAGGCAGATGATAAAAGCATAGAAAAAAGTAAGAAGCAGACATTGAAAACTTAGATACATGATTCTCCTTTGAATAATTAATGTATTATTTTTGAGATGAGGAGAGCTTCATATTATCTATTAATTTCTTTTTTTGAAAACATTACTATTTCCAAGTGCCATGCCATTTGACTGTGTTTGAGAACCACTCTACTAAATAATTTAAAACTTTCCCTCCGTGATCTTATTTAAGCAAGTATAAATGCGGAAACCCTCGGCACTTATTGTGGCTGTTCTAGAGCTCAGAGAAGAATGGGAAGATCCTCTGATTTTTTCAGTCATTTTTTTCCAACAAATATTTGATTGTTTTCTGTGTACCAGGAACTGTGCCAGGCACAAAAGGTCCTATGGAGAAGAAAGCAAAGCCAAACAAAAACACAGTCTTTGTTAGGCATCCAGTGATGAAGACAGAAATCAATGAACTACATAAACATATTAGTCCTCCCTTTTATCTAGGGTTTCACTTCCTGTGGTTTCAGTGACACATGGTCAGCCATAGCCTGAAAATGTTACATGTGAGAAGATATTTTGAGAAAGAGACCATTTTCATATGACCTTTATTATTGAAGCATATTCTTATAATTGTTCTACTTATTGTTCTTGTTGTTAATCTCTTACTACACCTAATTTATAAGTTAAACTTTATCATAATGCTATGGTTGGATATATGTCCCCTTCAAATCTCATGTTGAAATTTGATCCCCAGTTTTGGAGTTGGGACTTAATCGGAGGTGTTTGGGTCATGGGAGCAGATTCCTCATGAACAGATTAATACCCTCCTTCAGGGAGGTTGAGCGAATTCTTACTCTATTAATTCCTTAAGATCTGTTTGTTAAAAAGAGCCTGGTACCTCCCCTCCACCTTCCTCCTCTCTTACCATGTGACCTCTTCACATGCCAACTCCAAATGGAAGCAGCCTGAGGCTTTCAGCAGACGCCCAAATTTGAACTTTTCCAACCATCAAAATCATGAGCTAAATAAATAAATAAATGACTCAGCCTGAGTTATTCTTTTACAGCAACAAAAAATGGACTATAGCACATGAGTATGTACGTATAGGGAAAAAATGTATGTGTATATATATGTGTATGTGTAGCATTCAACACTATCTCCAGTTTCAGACATCCACTGGAGGTCTTGGGACGTCCCCCATGGATAAGGGGGTCCTACTGCACAATAAATGGTAGTAAATGCAATAACAATAATCTAGGGAGCTAGAAGAGTATTTATAACAGGCCTGGGCGGGGGGCAGATGAAAAGGAGAGAGAAAGCTACTCTGAAGAAATGACCTAGCTGGGCTCGGTGGCTCAGTCTATAATCCTGCGCCTTTGGGAGGCTGAGGTGAGTGTATTGCCGGAGCCCGCAGGTTCGAGACCTGCCTGGGCAGTGAGACCTCATCTCTACAATAAATAAAATTAAAAAAAACCAGCCGGGCGTGGTAACGCATGCCTGTAATTTCAGCTACTTGGAAGGCTGAGGCAGAAGGATCGCCGGAGCCCAGCAGGTCGAGGCTGTGGTGGCCGGGAGCGGCCACTGCACTCCAGTCTGGGCGACAGAGTGAGACTCCAACTCAAAAAAAAAAGAAAAGAAAAGAAATGACCCTTAAGGGGACAAAGATCTAAAGCATAAGAATCAGATAGACAAGGAAGGATAAAGTTGGAGAGAGGAAAGAAAGGACTATAGTATTAGGAGTCACTTCAGCAGAAACAAGGCAGAAGTTTTTCTTTCACATAAACTTATGTTGGTATTGGCTATACCACATTATCAGAGACCCTCCCACCTTGGATTTTGTTTCTCCACCTTGTGATCCACACGGTGGATCCCCAGCCCCAGCCCACACATCCACGTTCCAGACAACCAGCAGGAAGAAGCGGAAGGAGATTGTCTCTGCTCACAGCCCATTGGCCAGAACTTGGTCATGTGGCAACACTCCATTGTAGGGAAGGTTGGGAAGTGCAGTCTTTGATTTGCCCAGAATTCTATACTTAAAAAGAAAAAGAAGGGGGGAGCAGTGCTGAGCCATTCCAGGCAGTCTGCCACATGTCTGATCACATGAGAACCATAGTCCGACTTAACTTTCCCCCAGCCAGAGACAGCTGACACATCATCCCTTTGTCATCTCTTGCTCTTACTACACTTTTCTCAGAGGGAATGGATGATGATGCCTAGAAGTGTTTGAGGTCAGCTCAGGCCCAGTGGATCCTCTGCAATTGCCTATTCAGGGAAACTGCACATTGTATTCTCTCCAACTAAACTTTTGACTCAGGCATGATTAGAGAAATTTCACTGGTTAGTAAGCAAAAACTAATGATATGCATAAGTATTGTTTTTATCCCTTTGGTGCCTAGCAGAGCATCTGGCACATGGTTTACTAATTGCTTGCTAATTTACTTATTGACTGATGGAGAGAAGGAAACGTGGTAATTTTCAGTGGCCCACCAGGATAAACAACAAGAAAAAAAAAAAAAAACAGATTGAGATTATAGATAATAATCTGGGTGAGTTCAAAAATTAGAAAGATCAATGTGGATTTGTATTTTAGAATGGAAGTAATCTGCATCATTAAATCCTTTGTATAAGTAAATTGACCTTGAAGTGGTTCATTATATAAGTAAATTGACACTGAAGTTACGTGGCTGGGCATAAGCAGTCGTGGTAGCAGAATTGCTTTTTCAACCATTTATGTTTTCTGGAAAGGCTTTGTAGCAGGGTTAAGAGTTGATATAATCTTTGGATATATCATTCTGGATAGGTGGAGAAGACAACTTTCCAGATCTAGGGGTTTGAGCCAACTGCATGGTCAATGTGACAGATTACAAGATAATGTGAGTCAATGTGGAAGATAATGAAACATAATGAGAGGATGGAATAGATAAGTATTCACGGAGAAACGTTTAAGGCCAGTGTATCTGCAAGAGTAGGAGAATGGCATCTTGTGACTGTCCTGTGAAATAATCATGAACTTGGTTGTCTTCAGACTTCTTATTACTTTTTCTTCTTTTCAAAATATTTGGTAGCAGAATGCTAAGAGCACAGCTTCTAGAGCTGGAGCACCTGGTAACCTTGGGAAGTTACTTTATTTATCTGTGCCTCAATTTTCTGACCTGTAAAATGTGAATAATACTGATCCATACATCCTCAGGTTTTAATGAGTCTTAAATTAGTCAAAATAAGTGCTTAGAATAATGCATGGCAGGAGGTCAGTATTAGTTTTCACTTTTGTGGCAGTTATTAGAAGATAATTTGTGTAGCATAATGATAAAATTAATACCTATGAACTCACTCAAATTATGAACCAAGATGTTAGGAATGCCACTGCTTCAAGAGTTTCTTCTTCTTACCTCTTTTTTTATCTATAACTCCCCCTCTAGAGAGCCAAAAACAGAGTAATTTTTTTCTTAGTAATAGATGAGTCCTCATACATATTTCTGATTCCTAAAACAGGACTTCATATGTACTACTGCTGAATTGTAGCTTTCTCTAGCTTAAAAGAAGACTTTAGTAAATTTTTATTTATCAGTTAGCCATCTAGATATATTTGGGGTCCGAACCATTAACCATGACTCTATAACCTAAGGAAAGCAGCCACTACTTAACTGAGCTAATAAGCTTCTGCTCCATCCTACTAGGTAGAGTTCATGTGATTTGGATATTTTTTTTTTCTGTTGGAGTGCAGTGGCATACTCACGGCCACCCCAGGATAGACTTGCTAGGCTTTGGCGATCCTTCAGCCTCAGCCTTCCAAGTAGTTGGAACTACAGTGTGCACTAACACGCCCAACTAACTTTTTGATTTATTGTAGAGACAAGGTCTCACCATGTTGCCTTGTTGCCCAGGCTAGACACGAACCTGCGGGCTCAGGCAGTCATCTCGTCTCGGCCTCCCAAAGTGCTGGGATTACAGGCTTGAGTCACCACGCCCAGCCTGATTTGGATATTCTGAAAATGCTTTATAATTATTAAATATTTCATATATAGAGAATCAGGCTGGCTCTAGCCCTCTAAAAATTCTACTTTATTTTGAGGAGCTTGATTGAGCAAATCTATAAGCATTACCTATAAAATCATCAAAAGCCCTATGTTTGCATGGGCACTATTTGAGATGAACCTCCCATTCTGGCGAGAGTCCGAGAGGGAAAGAGAAAAGACAGGAGTTAGAGTGGTATCTGGAGCACACCAATGAAATTTGACTTCTTAAAAATCCAGCTGTTAGATTAAGTCAAAATAAGCTAGTTATAGGTTAAACTAGAAAAAAATAACTCACTGAATTTTTAAATGTGCTGTGTTTAAGACTTTATTTTCTTTTTGTTGTTGTTTTTAAGTTGGAGTCTCACTTCAATGCTCACGGCCACCCAGTATCGACCTGCTGGGCACCAGTGATTCTTCTGCCTCAGCCTTCCAAGTAGCTGAAACTACAGGCACGCGCTACCATGCCTGGCTAATTTTGATTTATTGTAGAGACAAGGTCTCACCAAGTTGTCCAGGCTAGTCTCAAACCCACGGACTCAGGCGATCCACTCGCCTCAGGCCTCCCAATGTGCTGGGATTACAGGCTGAGCCCCCGAGGCCAGCCAAGACTTTATTTCAATTGTTTATTCAGTGAATACGTTTTTGTTACCAAGTGTATAAAACTATGTAGGTTTAAAAGCAAAGCATCCCAAAACAAGGGTTTATATTCTTGTAGGAAAGAGATAAAGAGGTGCACAATTTCTACCGTCCCAGGTAGCTGTCTATGTATGATGTATCAGAAGAAAAGTTCAGTAGGTACATTCATAAGGAGAAACCACATTCAGCAGAGCAGAACATTTCAAGGAAGGGATGCTATCTGAGTTGGACTTTGAAAGGTGGGTGGGATTCAGGTAATTATATTGGCAGAGAAGACATTCTTGGCAGAGAAGAAAAGTCCTGGAGATGGAAGAGCAAGGGGTATGAACTGGGATTAGTGAGGGACAGTGGACCATGAGCCTGTAAGGGTGATTGAAGAAGATTCTAGAGGGGCTGGTTGGAGTAAACAGGAAAGGGATACATCCAGAACCGGGGGTTAGACATGGGAGGTAGGGGGAAGGTAGGACTTTGCAGAATGGTCTGGGAATCAGCAGAACTAAGTCAGTGGCACCATGAAATGTCTTACTGTAGGAGCCTGAGCAAGAGGGACCACGGTGGCTGAGTACAGAAAAGTGTGGCTGAGTACACTGAGTTGGTTTGCAGAGAGATTCGGGAGCAGCTGGTGATGGGCAGCATGTGGGCAGTGAGTAGGTGGGATGGGGCAACCAACTGCCTGCAGTATTCACAGCCAGAGTTTCTGGTTGAATGATGGGTCTTAAGGCACTAACTTAGGAGAGATAATGAGTTCGTGTTGTTGGATCTCAAAGAATTTTAATCTTTTAGAAGACTAATTTAAAGAAACACAAGTAGTTTGACATTACAGGCAGTAAAAAAAAACAATTGTAAATCCCATCATAGTGATTGATTTTTGTATGTGTGTATTCATTTCTAATCATAGCTATTTATGCATTTGCAGTTGTTTATTATATATGGAATTTTATTTTTTGCTTTTCACTCAAACTTTAAACCATAAGCATTTTCCACTTGGCTATGTATATTCCTTTAAATACAATTTTAATGGTAGCATAATTAAGAATTTTAAAGCAAGAAATGTTTAGCCATTTACCATATTAGTGAGGTTGATGTGATTTTCATGAAATTGCACATATTCATTTGTGATGTTTAGAAACTGAAATTAAGGATTGCCACCTGGGGAAAACATTGGCTCTAGAAATAGATTTGTGAGCCCTCTAGTTAGAGGTGACAGTTACAAGAGTTTGCCAAGGGAGAACGTTTAAAAAAGGGAGAAGAAAACAGAAACAGGAATGATTTCTTTGTTGAAGTGAATTAAAATTAATATTTGCATATTTTCCTATGAATATCTTTAGTTCAGTATTTTCTAGAATTGGGTGCTGAAGACATAGCTGGTGAACATCAATAACTTATTATTGGTGGAAATAAATATAGGCCAGAAAAGAACCTGAGATATGACCATAAGACAATTCATCATTTGAAAAATTTTCTAGACTGGGTACTGAGTAGTTCTACCAACGTCTTCTGTTGACTAAAAAACCTCTCAGAATAGTTATTTGCCAGAATGTGGGCAAGTTGAGTCAGAAAGTGATTTGTCCAATTACCTGCCATTAGTGATCAACATTTTATAAGATGGAATAATTTGATTCATTTTCTTAGGGTCAAAATAGAGATTGGGGTTATAGCTCAGTTACTTTTTGTGATCTGCAATCTAAGATCTCTGAAGCAAAGTGAAGGACCAGTGGCTCACCCTCGATCTCCTCTGAAGGTCCTAGATTCTAGCTCTGAGCCTTTTGGAAGCAGAGGAATGTTGTAGAGGTTCTCAGCTCTGTCCACAAGGCACATGAGATATAAATGACCTGCAGTAATTTTGTCTTCAGAGGACCTTTGGCAATGTCTGGAGACATTTTTGGTTGTCACAGCTGGTGGCAGGGGAATGGAATGGGGAGATATTGCAACTGCCATCTGTTAGGTAGAGGCCAAGGATGCTCTAAATATCCTACAGTGCCCATAACAGACTCCCCACAAAAGGGAATTACTTGGTCTTAAATGTCAGTAGAGCTGAGGTTGAGAAACCTTGACCAAAATAAGACAAAAAATCCTTCTCTCTGGTGTCCACATCTTAAATTTATAAGGATGTGACCTCTAAAATTCTGTTTCCCCTGCAACCCCTTCTCTCCCTCACTCAAAGGATATATGTCCTGCCATTTTGCTAACTTCAGGTGGCTCATCCTGTAATCCCATCGCCTTGGGAGGCTGAGGTGAGAGGACTACCTGAGCCTGCGGGTTTGAGACCCACCTGGGCAACTTGGCGAGGCCTCATGTCTACAATAAATCAAAAATTAGCCAGGTGTGGTAGTATGTGCCTTTAGTTCCGGCTACTTGGAAGGCTGAGGTGGAAGGATCGCCAGAGCCCAGCAAGTTAATGCTGGGGTGGCGGTGAGTGTGCCACTGCACTCCAGCCTGGGCGGCCGAGTGAGACTCCAACTCAAAAAAAAAAAAATCTCTGTTTCTATTTCATGGTCTAGGTATACTTTCAGCAATTCACACTCCATAAGGCTGTGCCTGCAGAAGTCAGACATCCCTGCATCCCATGGAACGACATTTGGTATCTCAATATTCCCATATTATCACTGAATTCTCTGCCTTGTTGCCGAATTTGACAAAGTAAAAAAAGAACTGGAAAGTTTTTAAAGAGAAGAAATTATGCAATGGTTTTTAATTGTATGACGTTTTAAGCCAACATACATGAAAGACCAGAAGGAAATGTGTGTTAAGTAACAAAGCTAAATTCTCAGCCAGAGTCAGAGCTGGGGTTCAAAATGCGCCTAGAATAAGGGTGTGTTCTGCATACCAGGAAAGACCTTTGCAAGACCTTCTGTGGGCTGTACAGTCTTGCAGTCTTGAGCTGCAGTAGTTTATTTGGTTTGATTGGATTTATAAATAACATCTGATATTTTGAAAAATGAAACCACAGTTACCCAAAAAGCACTTGGGTATACATTAAGATAATGTTAATAGTTTAAGAAAGAGGGGAAAAAATGAATTATTTGTTCAATCAGTGTGCCCTCATGTCTTCTACATGCCGAGGGATAGATTGGCTCCCCCAAATCAGCTCACTTTTTTTTTTTTGAATTGGAATCTCACTGTCGCCCAGGCTGGAATGCAGTGGCATGCTCCCAGCCACCGCAGCCTCAATCTGCTGGGCTCAGGTGATCCTTCCACCTCAGCCTCCCAAGTAGCTGGAACTACAGGCGCATGCTATCACACCATGCTTATTTTTTGATTTTTTTATAGAGACAAGGTCTTACCAAGTTGCCCAGGCTGATCTTGAACCCCTGAGTTTAGGCAATCCTCTCGTCTCAGCCTCTCAAAGTGCTGGGATTACAGGCTTGAGCCACCGCACCCGGCCTCAGCTCGATTTTTGATGGTACCCTTTTCTTTTTTCCTGGGTTGACTTTATTAATGATAGTCTTACAACATGTTGAATTCAGAGTTTCATGAAAGGATGAATCCAGCATTACAACCAGCATATTGTGTGTTAGACCCTGATATGCTGACCTCAAAGTACAGTGCATTTTTCCATTCAGAGTGTTCACCACAACTTATTATAATCCTTTACATATGACCATCTTTATACCAGATGTTAACTCTGCAAGACCAGGGATTGTCTGTTTATTCATGACTATGTGCCCAACACCTAGCACTGGATCTGACCCCTAGTAACACCTCAGTAAATATTTGTTGAATAAACGGATGGGAACCTAAAAAATGCTGCACACAGGTAGATGCAAAGTGGACATACAGTTGCTGTCTAATAACTTCAGGAATCATTTCTTCATTTGTGAATTCCCTGGAAATGGTCCTTCAGAGGA